ACGTTGTTTAACGTACAACAGATTTAGACATGTGATCATTTTCGATTTCCTATTACTGTTAAATACCTATGGTCCGATCATACATATAGTTTTGTCTTTTCAACACAATACTTACATGTGTGTTAACCGCCTGCTATGGTTCGATATTACACTATCGTAACGTTCAACAGTGATTGTCTTCTGGTATACTTTCACCTATGTTCAGACTCTCATAACTCATAACTATACTGGATTCTGAATCGCATTGTATTTTTCTTTTTCTTTGAGGAGCCATTAAAATGTCTGCCACCAAAGTGTCGGTGCGCACTACCCTATACCTTGTTGTGTTATCTGTGCATAGACAGAAAGTGGGGTTCTCTTCGGAACTTGTGAAGAAGAGAATTGTCATTTCTCATCAATTACAGCTGATTTTATAGTCAATATCTCAACGACAAATTTATGGGATTTCAATCATTATAGAAAACTCTCCTATAGACAAGAATATAAAACTATTGCTAAAATAGTGATTTACAGTATTCACATTTCTGCTCACAAGTTACTATTCCTCCTCCAGGTGTTCCTCCTCGTTCTTTGCGGAGGAGCGTTCTGCCCTGGAAGCCAAGCGTCAGAAGATCCGACTCCTCCAGCAGCGCAAGGTCACGGACATCAGCAACTTCAAGGACCTTCCCGACGAGATCCCGCTCCCATTGGTCATCGGCACCAAGGTCACAGGTCAGTGTCACGGTCGTATGAGGGAAAGAAGCATGTCGGCAGAACGTACTGAACCTGTAATGTATTGGGCATAGCACTTCGGTAGAACGTCTCATATAAGGTTGTATTGGTGCATATAAGGTTAACACTCCCTCTGTAGTTTCCAAATGTTATGTTGGAAAAAATGTTGCCTGCAACAGGCAAAATTCTGATGCAACGTTGACCAAATCCCAACAAAAACCGTGAAAAATGGGGTTTTGCACAGGCGCAGTACGTTCTGCAGACATGCTAGGGAAAGATGTTATCAAGATCTGTATGTTAGTATGGCTGTTGGCTAAGCTCTCCAACTTCTTGTTGTTAATGTAGATGCTTTGTTTCACTTTGCAACACAAGCCTTAAAGATGAAATTATGTAAATCTGATGGACTCTATGTGTAGATAGATGGAATGCTAAAATACAGCCATTAATTAATGTTTTTAATGTTTTTTGCCATTCTGCAGCCCGTCTGCGCGGCCCTCACGACGGACTGTTCACAGGTCAGATTGAGGCGGTGGACACAGCCAACACCTCGTACAGGGTGACGTTTGACAGACCTGGGCTGGGAACACACACCATTCCTGACACGGAAGTCCTGGTGAGGAGGAAACTACTCATTTAGGCTTTCTTTTTTGTTTCTGAACTGCTAAATTTGAATGTATTATGACTGATAGAAAGTTGGTTCACTGTGACAAATTATTTATTTTTAACTCCAAAATTACTTTATTTTGATACAGCTTTTCCCAAGTGAGTACTATAGTACATGATCAGTTCAATGGCTGAGACAAACTTTAAATTTCTGTTCAGCAACATGGTTAATGTGATGCTGTTTTGTTTACATTTTTGTCCAGTCTTCATTGAATAAGGGAGCTTTGACACGTATGCCTTCATAGCCATTAACTTTCTGTAAGAGTGCTAAACAGTACAAGTAAGTCTTGTGGAAGAGAGAGAGAGAGAGAGAGAGAGAGTAAAGATCTGGATTCAATGAAAAATCCACTTTCTTTTACCCAAATTACAGAGCAATGAGCAACAGGAGACCATGCCCCTCACAGCATTTGCACAAAAGCAAAGACCCCGTCAACAGTTTCTCACCCCTCCAAGGTGAGTGGTTCAGTCCACATGTTGATGTCATCTCTCAATCTTTCTGAATTGGAGAAAGGGTCCCCGTACTTTTGCATTGCATTTGTCTAACTTGTTTTGTGTATTTGTGTACAGGTTTTCACTGTCCAACAGCTTACAGTCCCCAGCATTTGTAAGTATGGCCTTTGGAGTTTTACTTAGTCATATTTATGTAATTAATTAGTCACTGATTTCAATTTGATAAGGGGAGGGCTATACATAGCTCAATCTTCTGGCCTCTCTTGCACAGTTTATATACACGTAATATTCCTTTCACGTAATGTATTTTTCGTGCAAATAAATAATAAAAAATAAACAGATAGTTCATTTATCGTGGAAGCATTTTCAGGAATTTGGCATAACACTTCTAGCAATCAGTGTCTTAAGTTGTGAGTGTAACTTACTGTTGACGTGTGATATTAACATGAACGTGATGAAAGAGTTACTGAAGATGTGTAACGTTTTTACTTCACGTTTTACTTCCCCTTTTACTTTACTTCAAGGCAGCATCCGTCTTTCCGTCATTTGATGGCACATTGCTGCTAATGACGAACAAAAATTTGTGTGTAAAGATATGGAAAGAGATGCAAGAAATAGTGTTTTACAGGGTCAGGATTTCAAAATTTTCCCCAGGGAGAATGCCTAGAATAGTTGGCACTCAACATGATAGCAAACAAAAATACGGAAAAAAATTAGGGCTGGCTAGAAGCTGCATGTCACCAACACACTCTCTTGACCTCCGTTGACAGGCCCATGACCCGATGCTTGGCCAGTCTCCACTCCGCAGCAGGTTACATGGCATAGAAGGGGGGACACTGGGAGGGTTTCCTGTCAAGTTCCTCGTCATGGTGGTAAGTGTACATTACATTTTTCATAAGGTTCTTCTTCCTTTTCTGCAAAAATCAATGTCCAATTTGATCTACCGGTACATCATTTTCTCTAAGTCTTGTTTCTGAGAGCTATCAGCCTGTGGAAGGGTCAACAAATCACTGGTCATGGTGTAGACAAAGTTAAACTAAATCACTAGATGTTGAGAGAAAGTACAATTGAACAATGACAAGAGAAATGTCTGTAAATGTAAGAAACACTGGAAGCAGCTTAAAATAAGGTATGATTTCTTTTTCCAGACTCGGTTATCAAAAGTCTTGCTGATCAAGAAGGACAGGATCAAGGACCTGAGAGAAATGAACACACAGGCAGAAAAAACTGTAAGTACAAGTTCACCTGAACATTACACAACTGTCATATAACAAAGTGGCTGCAACTGCTGTATTGTCTTGTTACCTCCAGGTATTTAGGTACTGTTTTCCATGGGTTTGTTTGTGAGTTTGTGTGTATGCTTGTCAGGCAGAGATGGTTGGAGGAAGAGTGGGTGAATATATTATAATTGGCTACTTGATTGACTCGGAGGTCAAGCCTGGAGGTGACCCAGCATGCACTGGGCAAGAGTAAGTGGGCAGTACATGGAAGAGTTCAGGATGTGATTGACTGCGTGTAACTGCGTCAATTAAAATATGACATACAACCCCCTCTACATATGCTGGAGGTCAGAAATGTCTTGTATTTTTTTTGGCATTTCAGAAAGAAGTTGAGTTTATGTCTGTTTTTTTAGAAATCTCATGGTGAAAGTGTGGATGTAGAGTTTCAGAAGAAATATGCCACCCTGGTCCTGGAGCTGGAGAGGCTGAACAGGGAACTCAACACTTACCTGATCGGGGTCCAACAGTACTGCCAAGAGGTAAGTATTTATTGTACATATGTAAGGATTCGAGAATAGAAAAAAAAAGGCAGACATGGAGCCACTATTCTAGCCATTTCAAAGTAGCACAAAGATCATGAGTAATCTACTTTTAGTACTGTAAATCAATTGTGGTAGCAAAATTTTGCGTTCTGAGAAAAATGGACGTTTGCAGAACTACATGTATATGTTCACAGTTCCGGCAGGAACGAGAAAGTCTGAATATTAAGTGATGTACAGTACACAAATGTTTGTTTGAATAGGGTTATATGTAATTCATTGTGTTCAAAGTTAATGGGGAATTTGGTAAGATAACAATAAATGTAATTTACTCTTGGAATGTTAATTTTGATAGACATCAAGGACAAGTTCATGTTGTTTATCTGATTGTGATGTCTCCCTGCTTCAGATCGCTCCAGAACAGGGACTGGAGACGATAAAGGAACCGGCGGGATCAGCGCTGAAGAAACGATGCGAGGACGACGCCATGGAGATCCTGCAGAGAGCGAACGAGGGGAACGGCGCGAAAACGGTCCAGAGTCAGGACGCCTGTCAGCTCATCACCAAACTCACCTCCCTCATGCTACAGATCAAGGTAGGAATTCATGCTGAAACTGTGTGAAATGTCTTTATCATGAACCATTCTTAAGGCTGGGTTAAATGTTTTGATATCTACAACTGGTTTGAAGGTTAGTGTTCTACAGCCAGCCTGAAATCTTTGCCTGTTATTTTAAAATGTTCACCTTCTAAAACACTACTTCCTGCATTTTGTGGGATGAATTTTAAGATTTTAAGTCAAAGATTATGGATTAGGCAAAATCTTTGGCCATCATGAGCAGCAAAATTCTGTCTAATGAAAGACAGATGCTGGCTATATAGAACAGTAGTTGAAGGTATAAGAATAATCATGAAGATGGTGCACCCTCTTACACTGTGTTTTATCTTGTCCGTTTTCTCCAGGCCCTGGCTGAGAATGAGCTGAACTCGTACGAGTTTAAGTCCCTGTCAGACGCCCTGGAGGACATCCGGCAGAGGGTGGACTGTGCCAACCTCAGGTAGGGGGGTTCAGATGTCCACTTGTTGATATAAAGATATCTTGTTTAGAATAAATTAGATAGGGCATGGTCTGATGGTGTGCTGAAAAAAGTTGGAATGAAACAAGTTGGATGAATTTTTCTTCATTTCTGTATTTCAATTTTTTTCTTTGTTCACTTACGTATCAACTACCCCTTCCACCCCGTGAAAGTTCTGGTTCACTACATTTGTATGACTCCTAGACTCTGCTGGACTCTTTTGGACTTGTTGCTATGCTAGCAAAACACCACATTCATCATTGCTTTAACTGTTGATTCTGACAGTTTATGTTCCAACACGTTACCTGTCTGCTACATGTTGCCCAAAAGACACAAAGGTACAAGCATACAAAATATGCTTGTGACTTCTCTCACACAAATGGGAACCTGACTTTGGTGAGGTATAATATAAGACAGTAGAAGGAGAGGGATGGGCTCTGCGTATGGCACCACCTTACTTATAGCATTGTCTAAAATCTTTTGTTTCCCTGTACAGCTGCTTCCAGAACAATGTGGAGATCCACGTGGCTCATGTCCAGAGCGGGCTCAGCCAGATGGGGAACCTGCATGCCTTCGCACAGAACACAAACAACGACCTGTAAAAAAATCCTCTGTATGTAGGAAGCCTCATGTCCTGCTGCTTTTCCTATGACAAACAGCAAGATGTGTCACTGCATGAAATTTGATCTTAAAAGCACACATCTAAGTATACGTAAAGGTTCTGTGCCTTCATTCTATTGGAAAAATGGAACCCTTTCACATGCTTTAAGGTTTGCTTTAAGATTGGATTTTGTGTAGTGTGTATAATAGAACATTTCTGTCGCCATGTTGTACTGGGATGTGTTGGTGTTGTACTGGGAAGGTCTTGTCCAAGGCATGTTTCGGTAGGTCCAACATGCTCAACTGTGCCACTGTGTTTAGATTTTAGATCTACCTCTTTGATAATCCTTCATGCATTACTTTGTCCTATATCATGTACAGGTAGTCCCATTCCAACTAGTTTAAAATACGTTTCAACTCAGCTTACAGAAAAATACAATAGAATTTAGAAAATGTAGAAAACAGTAAAATGTGGTATCACCAGTAACATTTACTGGTGTTTCTTGGAAGAGTGACCGTGAAGTTGGGTTGATTTGGCCTGTTGTTGCATGCCCCTGCAAGACCCTCCTATAGCATAACACATCCCATGTGATGTTCATCCAACAATGCAATTGTTACTGCCTCTTGTCAATAGCAATGATGATTATACTATCAAGGGTTCAGTATTTGGAAATTACAAATGTTAACATAAAATACTGTTTTCATTTTGCTAATTCAAGAATTTTGCTAATTCAAGAATTGGGCACCAATTTTTGCCTATAGATCTACTCTACACATTTATATTATATAAATCCCCTAGTAAAAATTAATGTACTGTTAGAGACCTTTAAAGATAGAGTGTGCATGTGGTCATTAAAAAGGACAAGTTTATGAGTTATTTGGGAGTTGTAAGAGAATGTTTAGGGTGCTTTTGCCGTTTTGCTATGCATTCAATTATGCCTAGAAGAGAATGAACTGTACTGGAATTGTCCATAGGTATGTGAATTTGTGCATGGAGTTACTAGATAAATAAGAGGAATATGGTTGAGTCTGCATGTGGAAAGCAGACCATTTCTGTTTTACAAGCAAATGTCTTACTCCTATTTCATTGGCAAACTGTGCTTGCAAATAAAATAAGATTTCCCCACATTCCTTGTAGTGCTACATCATGCTGCAGGAAATAGTTGCTGCAAAGTTAAATTTTAAATCAGTTTTATAATGGATAAAATATCATTCAAAATTACAGTTGAAGTGATACAGCACTTTGCTGCAAATGTCTGCATCTAGTATGTCTCTTCACTACATGCTCATACTGTGCATGATTGCTCTATCTTGCATTGGTGAAGAACTCATTAAAACTTTCTTGGAGCCAGATGTTTTTCAAATTTTATCTTCTTTTTGAGTTTTAATATGCTGTCATCGTACAATGTACATACCTAAGTACATTTAAGACCTATTTCGACAATACTCAATAGCACATGAGTAACATGAACAGCATACAAATTAATTTGATATGAAAATCAAGGCAAACAAAAAGGCAGAAACGATGGTTATTACAGTTCATTGGGACTTCTAGACTACATCACTACTGACTAGGATTCACTACCTTTGACAAAAGCTAGTGAGACATATTTTATCACATACATGCACACAAGAAAGGTACATGTACATGTAAACTGACATTTCATTTTCGCCTAATAACCCACTGATGGGTAAAACTAAAAAAAAAAAAATACTAGCAGACACTTCCATAGGAGCATTCATGGCGACAGGCTACATTGTAAGGAATGACCAGTCTATTATTGTATTTGAGCTGCCTTTCAGGTATTATCTATTAGTTCTACTACTTCTTGAAGAACATTTTGGCAAAGTCTGCATTAGTGAGCCTCTTGGCTCCCTGTTTGAGTGGTTGTTGTGTAGCTGTGCTGGTGGGTTGATCTGTTGTGGTCCCGTTGCTGCCTGCTGGAGGTTTGGAAGTACTGGCTGATGTGGTGCTGGGTTTGTGGAGGGACCGTGGGAGGAGGGACAGTTGGGTACGAGCTTTCCCTCTGTACTGCGACTCTCTCGACGTGTCTGATCTATTGCACAGGAAAGTAACCGCCATTAACATACAATGCCAGCTTACAGTTGAGAGAATCCGAGTGTAGCATCCCCCCATCCCTGTATGGTCAGTTTAGAATCTGATATACAGGTGTGCATTTACTAGATGACATATAAAGTTAACTTGGCACATTGCAAAGTGCATTTTTAATGCCTTCGCAACCTACAGGTGTACTCATGAAGCACGTTAGTGCTCTAAAAATACAGTATTAGGTCATACAATGTCATGTAGTGCTAGCTACATGTATATAGAGGCTTACATTTGTTGTACATGTACATTCAGCATGGTACCATTCGTTGCAAGCATTCTGAACTGACTCCAGTTAGTACATACATTGTATCGGTATATCCCGTGCATCTCTTCAAATGACGAATATCCCCCAATCGACATGGTCATATTCTTCATACATGTAGGCAATCGTACGATTTTGATGCATAACAGACGCAAACACAGACAACATAACACAACAGAAGTAAACACTGACAATTCGCAGCATAATTTTGCCTGGCTATCCCAAGTATGCCCTCAGTTGCCTTGGCGGAGGGTCGCCCTTTCTCCTTGTAACATGACCTTGAGAATTCTTACCTCAGCCTGTCGTCCACCCCCTCCCCATGAGGCCCCCCTCTCCGTGTGGGGGGGTTACTGACGGCAACTTGGATCTTCCTGTCCCCAATCATCAGCCCATCTGTCTTCAGGACTGCCTGACTGGCCGTTTGCTAAAATGTATGGAAAAGTGTGAACCATGTTGTCAGTCAAATGTGTTCAATTTTCTCTTGTCAAATGCTGATGAAAGTTTTACAAATGTGTTACCATAACTTAGATAGCCTTACGTACCTCATCCTCATACTCCACATAAGCCAGGCCTTTTGGCTTGCCTGACCTGTAGGTCACTAACCTCACACCGCGGACTGGACCATGCTGGGAACAATGAAAATGTACATGTATCTTAATCCAATTTTAGCTTACATTTAACTATTCTCTCATTGATTAATATGATGACCGCTATGGACATAAACAGACTTAAACATTTCACGTACTGTACTAGGAAACTTTTTAGTCGGTATAGTAAGCAGTGGTCATCAAGTTTCTGAATCTGACTTGGTCATCCTGCAGGACACCAGTTTCATTGGACATGCATTGACAGATGATTACTGTAAATCACATTTTTTTCGCGGTACTTTGATATTCACAGAACAACATACATGTATGTGTAGTGTAAGACAGCTGAATAAGGTAGTTTCTTAAACCAGTCCCTCATACCTCTTTGAATATGTTCTCCAGAGCCTCCTTTGTCACAGTGAACGGCAGGTTGGACACAAACAACTTGTTTTTCTCCAGCTTGGTTGCATACTGAAGGAAAACAGAAGAAACAAGCATCAGGAAAAAAGCACACCATTATTAGCTTAACAAATTGTCCAGGGGACATGAAGTCCCCACCTTTAAGATTATGCAATGAAGCATTGGCTTTGTTGGATGTTTAATGCCTCTTACTGATCGTATTCCATGGACTGTTGCAAATTGTGTTTGATAATGGCCGTGATGTGGCAAAGGTAACGTTTAAGCAACAGTTACTACTATATTTGTTTGAAAACCTTACTGTCACTAGTGTACACAAATATTATATATATTATATATATATGTACTATATTATGTAGTTCAGAATGCAGTAAACATTATCACAGAATCCGATCTAATCCTGCAAATGATTGCTCCCATGCAAAATTGATCACTTGGTACATTAGCCACATTCACCTGAAATCCATGGAACTTGTCCCCCTTCCTCTTGTCAATACAGGGGGAAACAAACAGGGGGCGTCCCTCCACCTCTCTGTGGTCAAACCCCAGGGCCTTCACAGCAGCAGACTGCAACAATATCAACAGTTCTTTGTCTGACACTTAAGCCAAACAACTCTTAAGTCTATAAATTGTTTATTTGTCTGTTTATAAATACATGCACGTAGATACAATGTAGATAACATCATTAACCAAAACTTGAGGTAACCAAATCAAAACAAAAAATATGGTAACCCAATATCTAGTTACATTTCTGAGAGAAGATGACAGTGGTCAATTGTTCAAAGCAGAAAGATAGACTTGAAGACGCTGCATTAAACACATACATACCTCATCCTTAAACTCCACATAGCAGAAGCCCCGGAACTTCCTCTTGCTGGTGAAGGCCAGTCTCACATCTGCCACTTCTCCGCACTTCGAGGGGGGAAAGTTATTTTCCTTGTTTGATTATTTGAATGATACTCAAGAAGACTTTGTTTTAGAACTTTAGCTCAAACATCTATCATATTTGTCTTATCTGGCCATTTAGAAGCATCAATCCCCAAAAAGGCATTAAGTAGAAGTTGTTAAGAGTAAGGCTCTCAGTAAAGTCTAGAAACCATTAGACTATATTGTATTCATTTGATACAATATACTAGTAGTCATTTACAAATCACTGTCAGACATTTTCTAGAAGCAATTGGACTGAGTTAGAGGAGAATAAGAGCTTAGCTTGAAAATTAATCAGCGTTGGTAGAACTAGAGGGTTTCGTCTATAATGTCACAGAAGTGGTGGATTGCTTATTCCTTGACAAAAGCTTGAGTAGAACAGTCGAAAATTTGGGTGAGAACAATTTTTTATTACAGTTCAAACAGTCTGGAAATGGAAGCTGGCCTACCTCTGAGAATATCTCCTTCATCTTGTCCTGAGGGTTGTGCAGGTTGTAGTTCAGGTTACTGACAAACACGGACCTCCTCTCCCTGTCAGGGTCGGGGACATGTGGGTCTCCTGTAGACGCGGCTGTGGGAGAGGGGACAGGCGGGATGGTGGCCTCGTGGATGGACTGCCACGCTGCCGAAAATGACACCTCCTCTGCCTCATCACCTGTTAAGTCACATAAATCAGAATATGATAATTCTGCAAAATGCAGCCACCTTCTTTTGATACTCAAATCATGGTAATTATCTTCACCCTCACAGAAGGAAAACAAATATGTTTTGCTCTGTTTGTTCTCCAAACACACATTATGACACCATGTCGATTGAGATTTAATTACAATACTAGGACTATGTAGAATGGGATGAGAACATGCTTTATCTCAGACTACTCACATTGGCTGATATAATTTTATGCATTCCAGGACGAAAATTATCACTAGTAGGTTTAACATTACTGTCATGACCTCAATGAATAGCAGCCTGCAAGCTGACTTGAGCTACCCATGAATAAACAATGGTTCAAAGAAAGAAAGAAAGAAAGAAACAAACAAACAAACAAATGATACCAACCTTTCGCCTTCTTGACTGGAGGTTCTTCAGGTGCCTTGCCAGTCTTGGGTGCAGGCATGGACGGTACCTTGAACCCCTCCTCGTCTACTGATGACCCAACAGTGTGGAGAGTGTCTCCTGATTTCACAAAGAGCTGGTGATCCAGCTGGAAAGACAAGAACATGGGTGTTACAGCATAAAGATGGCTAAAACTTTATGTTCCAACACTAAGTAAGTTGGGAATTTGGGGCTAACTTGTTGATGAAATGGACCAGTCTACTGCAGCTTCCTGGACATGACGTTGGAAACACATGACTGCAGCAGAGGGTTATGCGTGAGCATACGTGCAAGATAACCTGTGTTGCCTCCTTTTAGCCAAACTTTTGAGAATGTAACAATTTACTTTTCACGCTAAGATGGTTGAACTTGAAGCTTTTCGGTGCACACCCCAGTTCTTGCGCGACCGGGGTCCGTGATAGTCCGTTGTAAAAAAGTGACGAAAGGGTTTTGAGGGTCCAAGTTTGAGGTGACATTTCTTATAAACTGCCACGAAGTATCATTAAACATTAACATGGCTGAAGAGTGTAAGAAATGGTGATTTTGGGGTGAAAATTTCTTTTGGCTCCGAACCTTACTTCCGGGTATCCTTGCGCGCCAAGTGTAATCCGCCCGTTTGACCTAGTTTTCGCTCTGTGGCTTCGTAGGGGTGGATTTGCAACCCCTCGCGCCGTGGACTGTTTAGAAAATTACAGTACTAGAATTTTCTTTATAATTTACTCGGGTATAGTCAAGGCTTGGGTCTTTCTGCCAGCATCAGTCATTTCTGCCGGAAAATTTTTTTTTGTGGGATTATCCTACGCGAAAATTCGCAATTTTGGGCATTAATTTTGGAGTGAAAATAATGTTTTTCCGTTGATTTTACCAAACTTAAAAAGGTTGAAGAAACCAAACTCAGCTTGTCTTGTAGCTGAAGAGATACCCTTTCGTCCCATATACAGTTATTCTCCTTCCGAATTATTCCACGCCAGAGACGGTCGCTAGATTTGAGGGTGTGCAGCTTCGAAAAGAGGCCCCAAATAAACTGGGGTGTGCCCCCTTTTGACTTTGCATTTTGTTTGAATCCCCCTATCCTATATCTAACTGTGATAGGATACGGATAAAAGTATACAGTGATGATAATCAACCCACCTTTCTCTTCTGTCCTTGCTTCATCTCCTGTTTCTTGGCAGCCTTCTTGTCTGCCTTGTTCTTCTTCCTGGCCTCTGCCAGGACTGCCTCTGCCTGGGCTGCCACCAACTCCTTTTCTGCTTGCTACAAAAGAAAACAAATGTCACCACACATAAACCAGTCAGGGCTCAAAATTCTGGGTGCAAATGAACCTTAGTGCAGGTTGGACCAACTGTCTCTCACCTTGGCTCTTCTCTCCTGGACTCTCTTGAGTTGAGCCTCGCATCTGGCAACAGCATTGTCATAGGTTTCAAGTGTACCTAGAATACAACATAATTTTCACATTTAATCTAGGGAACAATCAAGTACCATACGTAGATTTAGCAGAATGTCACCTGTCAATATCTGTTTCTACTGACATATTAGTAGTACTGTAAGCCTACTGTAATGTGGCATGTACACACAGCCTGAACAAAAGGGTTGATCTGTGCAGTAAGAGCATAGCATCTACATGTAAGAAGTTCATAATGTGCTCAGAGTACAGCATATAAAAAGCTCAGAAGCTCACTAACTCAACACAAGATGACTTTCAGAAAGACAGCTTATGGAACAAGATGTGTCAGTCTAGTGAACAGACAGCAACAGAGCTTGTTCTATATTTACCTTCTTCCCTTTCAAAGTTGATGAGTGCCTCACAGACTGACTCTGGCCAGTCGCTGGCCTTACTAACAGCCTTCTGTAGCACTTTCCTGCTGCGCTCTACATCTCCAAATGATCTAAATAGAACCAAAAAAAGGAAATTATCATTGAAAACAGATCAGAGTTTTATATGAAAGCCAAAAGGCTGGCAAGACCTTTCTATAGCATCATCTAAGATCAACAAGTTTAGAGTGTACCGGTAAAAATTACTATGATCATAAATGATTGTATATTGTATTGTACGTAAGTCATAGCAAGGGCTGTTGACTATCTTACACGTCAGAATTCAACGTGACTACTGTCAGAATATCCAGAATAGTCCAGAATATTCATCACAAATTACCTCAGGAAGTACATGTACATGTACTGTATAATTTACTATAAAATACTTGTTGTCTAGGAATGTTTTTGAGCATATGAACACACTGTTATGTCGAGTTGGACCACCTATTGCAAAAGACTGTGAGGCACATGGTAACAGTTCTACTTATTAGCCTCCTGACCATTCTCTAGGTGTTGGGAACTGATGGTCTCACCTTTCTAAGTCTGCATACTCCAGCCACATCTGAGCCTCTCTCCCATGGCCCTCTGCCATGATGCCATCCCATAAGTCCCTCGCCTTTCCCATATCCTTGCAGTATTTGGCCTGGGGTCAAATGCATATGAAACCTAAAGTCTTGTTGTTTGATTACCCCAACAGTTAATGTAAAATACGGTAAAAATTGTCGAATAGTCTAATACCCAGCACACACGTACCTCTATTCTTGCCCAGGACTTTTTTAAGGTGCATTGTGGGTCACTAGTTTCACCAAAGTCTGTAAAAAAGAGACTGTTTAGTTCATATATATATATAACTGCTAAAAGTTATCAGCTAAAAATATGCCAGGATCTTCTGAATATTTTCTATTTCTCAAATGCTGATATGGTGATGGTTTGTACTGCGATGGCCCTGAGAAAATTTAGAAATGTCCCCACTGCAACACTCGGCTATTTGTGCCTACTTGTAGGTACAGTTAAATCATAGCCTAACAGAAAACTGCTACTGTAGAATAGATCAATTCAGAAAACACTGATGACTTCAAAGTTAGAAAGACTGGGGATTTTTACCATTTTATATTTTAATTTGCTAAACCTACATAGATGTATAACTATTAGTAAGCTCCACAACTTAATGAATATCATGTCCTTCAATACTAAATTTTACTTCAATGTTTGTCATAACATCCATATCTACAGAGTCTAAAATCAATTTAATTGTCCAAGTGACTGGACCAGATCTTTCCAAAGGTGTATTGGTCTATGTTGCAGAAAGAAGAGTCTGACTCACATTGCTGCAGGCTGTCTTTGCAGTACTCTACAGCTTGTTGGTATGTGGACCTTAGTTCAGCAACACCTGATGATTCACCACCTGGGGACATTCAAGTTATAAAAATGAAAAAAAAAAATTCATAAGGAGTTAGGATACTGGTTCACATACTATGTTAGGGGAATTAACAGATGGATGGAAAAATCAATAATGGAATGTCGTAAATCTGTAAAAGTTGATTAATATTTAATGATCATCTCTTTTCAAATTAAGTATACTAGTAGTTAAGTGGTGAATATCGAGCCCATGTACATGTACATCAAACATAGAAGAACTCAATAATATAAGGCAGGAGGGAAAGGGACCAGATCGTGGCCTAGGCCAGAATTAAATGCAGAAAATGAAGTTTAAAATCTAAGCATATATTTACAGTTTTCCATCCCTAATGATGTCCACACATTGTTGAGTTGACGGAAGTGTGTCTACCTTTAGTCCAGTCGACCCTCCTGCGATGGTAGTCACAGTACGTCTGCCACAGACTAACATAGTCCGAGGCTTGGGGAAAACCTGCAGGCAGGGCAGTGTCCATCACCTCTGTACAAACACAGCAGAATGTCTTTTGATTACAATCTATTTAACACGTTGGCAAAATGTACTGTGCCTGCGCAAAACCCAGATTTTTCACGGTTTTCATTGAATGTTTGGTCAACATTGCATCTGAATTTTGCCTGTTGCAGGCGATATCTTTTCTGACATAACGTTTGGAAACTACAGTCTAGATGTTATCCTTATATATGACCTAATATAAGGAATTCTGTTGAAGTGCAAAATACATTACGAGTTTCACGCAGGTGCAGTACGTTCTGCCGACGTGCTATCTATATTCTGCTATAGCACACTCACAACTAGTGCTACCCATACCATACACTATGTTGTAACAGGGAAGTTACAAACAACTTCTAAAGAAGAAAAGGAGATGCATAGTTACTCAATTATGTTTCTAAGACAATTTCTGTGAGTGAGTGATCTGTATAGCTGGTATAACCATCCTTCGGCATAACAGACCAGCTTTGCAGGCACACGGTGCAACTTCAGCTGGCTACATTACACCGATCGACTAGTTACACCTAACTCTTGAACATCTAACTCTAGACATTGTTTAAAGCTTAGTCCGCTATCTAATGACAATGCCCCAACTTGCGTCTTGAGGAAACAGACGGTTAACATGACTGACCCTTTATTTTCTCCTTCGGTTGTCTGTGTCTCTCCAGGGCCAGTAGGTACCCCTGCCAGAGGGCGGCAGCCCAGGGACAGTTCCTGGTGGCCCGCTCGTGGGTAGACAGCACGATGTTAGGTATTCTCAGCTTGGTATCCTGTAGAGACATTGAGACAGTTCAGTTCAGTTTAATTCAATCAAAATGCATGTATACAGAAATTGTGACATGAAACTTGAAACAAAAATACTAATACAAAATGCAGTAAAAGAACGAAGAGCTCTCAACATTAAGAATACGGATAAAATCATGACATTATCTATCAAAACCAAGTTGAAAAAATACAAAACAATCGTGATCAACAAAATTACATTTTCTTATTATTATTATACAGCTTAATCACTCTAGGAAAGAACGATATAGACTGAGACAATATCTCTTATGAGTACTGACAATACATGTAATAGTACATCCTAGTATGCAATGGTCTAGTAGCATGCAGTGAACTATTGCCTAGCAATCTTTTATCTGCAATTTAAAGTCAAGAGTTTGAAGCCTTAACCAAATCCCTGATTTGTATGTTACTGGTACTAGTAGGGGCTGCACGAGCCAATGAAACATTGCTTTTAGAATCCAACTGGTTTCATTATTACACATAGAAAAAAGGCAAGACCTTCAAAAAGAAATAATACCATTGATTAACAAATTCCTTTAAAAATGATGCCTATTTTTCAAAGGGCCACATAAGGCAGGATCGTGTATACGTAGCAGGGCAAATATAGCAATTTTCTTTACAAATTATTGATATTGCTTATCAAAAACCTCCCAAAGCTATGCTCGTTCCATTTTGACTGTCTACAATCCTTCTGAAACAGATACTGACTAGGTAGTGGGTGTATTTAGTCCACAGCTCCACCACTAGTGGGTTCTCCTGAAGAGCTCTCTCAAAGATACACTGGATCCTGGTTGGTTCATCTTCAGCAAGCTCGTAGTCGATGTAAGACAGGTACTCCTGGAGCCGCGGGGCCGCAGCACTGGTCTTTAAATTTATAGAACAAAGGATAGACCATATCAAAATGTTCTAGATAATCAGAATGGAAAACAATGTAAAACATTGGCCTTTAAATAACATACCTACATCTGAGACTTAGACAGAAATATACAGAGTAATTGCAGTTAACCTTCAGACCCTTTCAATAGATCTTTTATTAGAGCTACAATGTATGAGCAAAAATAGAATTTCAAAATGTTTCTGAAATACTTGGATTTTGTAGAAGTAATCCAAGATAAAAACAACCTTAGAGGTGGTTTGGGATAGTATTGGAGAAAAAAAAATGTCCCACATTGGATATGGCTCATTCACATTCACAAAGTCTAACCAGTTTGGATCAGATTTCCAATTCAAAATCCAAACCTGATTCAACAATCCCCAAAATCAGTTTCATCACTTCCATGGCTGTACAAGATGTACCTGTGACTAGTGCTGATACGATTGTACATTGTATTGTTGATATAATGACAGCCATTCATGATTCCTACCATTCAGTCTAATCAACATTGAGCTACCATTACTGCATTTCAGCCTCTGGGAGCAAAGGACTACCCTCTTCATATAAATACAATTATATGCTTCTCAATGGCTATTCAAAATCTTGTTTACTTCACTCGCTTCTCGCTGCTTGTGCAAATACCTGGCTGACATAAGTACGTATTGAAGTGGTATCCTCATTACATCCATTCAAAATTCTTACAATCCAGCTTCATTAATTGGCAGCGACTGTAATTCATTGCCTGGGTGAGGGCTAATTGCCAGGATATAATGCAACACAAAACACATTGTTCGGTGCTTACCAGTGATTCTTCAAAAGGTTTGTATTTTTCTAGCTTCTCGCATGCCTTCTGGTAGGCCTGCTTCACGGTGGCATCCACCGGCCCTGTCTGGAACTCTTCATACTCCAGATATGTGCCATCCATACCTGGACAACAACACACAACAGGACAGATGTTAGTGACTGACGCTCAAGCAGTGTTGTACCCAGACGTGGACCCAATTTACACAAAAATCTGAAGTACGAAAACTGCATATGCATAGGAGTGTGTAAGACATAGAATTTTTCCTGCGTGTAAATAGACCCATTCGACTTTCACAGATCGCATAAACTGCATACGTCACAGGGGGGACATTTCGAATAGAAACTACGTCACAGGGGGGACATTTCGAAAGTTCCTTTCAACGATCGCATAAACTGCACGTCACAGAACAAAATAACATTAAATTGTTGTACGGATTGCCACCATACAATGTTGGTGCCTGTTTTCCTGTCATTTCCGCATATATTACCGAGAAAAAAAGACACTTACCTACATTTTAGTAAAAAAATGATCTGCCAGGGGGACATCGCGAGCGCAAGCCGCGTTCAACTTCAGCGTTCTAGAACGACGTTCTTTCGAAATGTCCCCCCTGTGACGTAAGCAGTTTATGCGATCCGTGAAAGTCGAATGGGTCTATTGGCCTGCATGCTTTGACATGCCAAGAGTGTACATTCAGACTGAGGGCTGGCGTACGATCTGAACGTATATTCTTGACGTACAGCAAAGCAAGCCAATTCACATGCACTTTTCGCACACTCTCGTGATCACACACAGTTTTCTATTGTCAGCAATTTTGTGTGTAAATCAGTTCTTTGTCTGTCAAACATCTAAGTGTACACTGAGATTTTTCTTTCCAAACAAAATTATACAACACAAAAATGGCTGGACTTCAACAATAGGCTGCTACAGCTGGAAAAGTCAATTAATTGAAAGATTGAAAAATTAACACATCTTTTATGAGGTTTCTACATGTAGCTCCCAGAGTGTGACATGCATTACATCATGTTCCTATTTCCTGATGGAAAGACCACTTTTCAACCGATGAGGAAAAATTAAGTCCCATGGCTTCGAGAACAGAAAACCCCCACAGTTCTAGAAAATTTCTTGTCTAAAACAATTCCTTATCTAAAATGGGACAACAAAATCAGTCCTGACCTAGGAGTGGGATGGACAGCTGTCTCCTGAAGATGGAGTTGATCCTGGTGATCTGTGCCTGGATCTTCTCCTCCTGGTCTCCTGTACAGATGGAGCCTGGATCTGGCTGGAGGGGAACACGGGCAGATCATAATAAAACTGACCAGGGGTTCAGAGTACAAAACACACAGACATACAATCATACAAGCACCTATATACTCACATACAAACACTCAAACACACTCACATACAACCATATGCACCATACACAATAATACACACCACCCATAGACACCCCACACATTCATATGCACACACACACACACACACACATACATACATACATACATACATACATTGTACACATACACAATCAGACATCCAGACACACACACATACAAACACAGAATCACAAACACCTGCACACAGTGTATTTCAATGCTAGCCAGTAAATCACTGGTAATACCACTGTAGTACCTGATCCACTCAGAGACTGGATGTTTACCTGCATTCCTGCCAGAACAGCGTTCTCAAACTCCCTGTAGACGTCCCACAGCATGGTTCCCTTGGAGACGTGCAGCCCGCCCGCAGTCAGCGCCTTCTCACACACCGCTCGCACCGACTCCAGCCCGTCCTCCATCCCTCCGATACAGTACTGGATATACTCCAGCCATACGTCCACACCTACATGTACATGTACATGTGAGAGGGATCAAATACGACAGCAACAAGTATTATGCTCACTGTTAATGAATGGGGTATAAGGTCAACTAGTGCAATTTTGCTAACTTACAGAGGTAGTCTTTCACAGCTCTCTCAAACAGCTTGTTTATCTCTGCTCTGTTCTGTCTGCCAGAGTCCAGCTTCATTTCATCTGTCAGCCAATCCATCCACAGCTCTGGAATCACATAACAGTCACAACTTGTATCATGAATTTGTTATCAATAATATCAGTTCTTAAAATGTTTAACACAAAAACATATGAAAGCCATATCAACATAGCTTTTTAATAACAAGGCTCATGAAAGCCATATCGACAAAGCAAACATTAGGCTAACAATTGCAAGACTAGTACTTTTGCCTGGGAAAAACCTTTATGTTGTAATTAGTCCACTGTAGCCATTTCTGATCAGTGCAGTGCACATTAAAAAAAAAGTCTTTTACCACTGACATACTACCTTAAAAAAATGTCTTTTACCACTCAGCCATACTGAGCTCAAACGATTTTTTTCTGCTATATGTGACTTGTAAAATTTGTAATGCCAAGTTTACGTCCCCTCCAATAGTCGCTAACCATAATTGGAACGGATGCAAACTACCCAAGCTATAAACACATATATTCTTTTGCCTCCTTTATACTAGTATGTCAACATCTACATATTTTTTCCCTGCAAACCTCAATGTTTTTCTACTATTTGCAGGTTGCAGGTATGTTCTGTAATGAAAAACATCTAAACTTCCTATAGTTGATCTTTTCCATTACCTTCTGTTAAGGGGAAGAACTTGCTCATCCTCTCCCTGGCCTGTCTGACCTCCACCAGCTCACCCTCCCTCCTCAGGGCACTGTTCACCTGTTCATGGGGTAACAACATACATAGGGGTTACTGTTCACCTGTTCATGGGGTAACAACATACACGGCTGTTATAGTCATAGGGGTTACTGTTCACCTGTTCATGGGGTAACAACATACATAGGGGTTACTGTTCACCTGTTCAAGGGGTAACAACATACATAGGGGTAACTGTTCACCTGTTCATGGGGTAACAACATACATGGCTGTTACAGTCATAGGCGTTTAATACTGTTACAGTAGCGAAAATTCCCAAGATCCTTCAATTACTTTTGGGTACAGAAGTATTGATTTGGGTGGTTGAGCTGTGGGTTTGTGTATCTGGTTGTAGGTTGAAGGGAGGGGGAAGATTGACAGGCAGTCAAAGATAAGAATCTGCAAACTATGTACTTACAACAAGACTGTTCATAATATTTATAGTCCACAACAATTTATAAAGTGTTGCTTTTGACCATGGCGTTTTGACCATGAAACCCTCTGTTACAATTGCTTTATAAGTTGACTGACCATAATAAAATATGCCTAGTGTGTGACTGACAGAACTCTTTCCTATAATATATCGAAGTAATAAAATTCAGCTGTAGCGTCCTCTCAGTCTCTGTTCAACAACAACTGAGTATCAAACTGAGCATAACAACAAACTTTCACGTGTGCGATATCGGCGGCCAGCGCTCCACCGTGCAGTTTTGCAGCCTTACCTTCGCCTCTAGCTGCCTCGTGGTCTCATCTTCACTGTCAGACGAAGAGCTGTCCTCCTCGTCATCGTCCTGCTGCATGTCAGCCTCCCCAGACGGAGGGTTTTGCATCTCGGCTTCTGCAGAGTCCATGGGGGAGGGGGGCAGGAATCGTGCACTGAGCGTCAGGTGGACCACAATGCACTGCGCACACAAGTGGTGGCAAAACCTGGCGGCGGGAACGGACACCACGTAAAAACACTTCCCAACTGAAACATTTACATAGAGCCCTGGCAACGCAAAACACATTGAATACATTTGACACCACAGCGGTATTTTTACCTCCGTGAACAAGAATTCGGAGATCTCATACCTCCATGAAATATAATGTTTTTTTGTCTAATTGACTATATGGAAATAAGGTCGTAACTAGCATTATCTAGTTGAATTTATGGTTTTCTAAATTCAAATGACAATATTTTTCGGGTAAAATTCCTCTCCTTGGTCATACTTCATTTCAACATGTCCTCATTAATTATGCAAATGACCTCTACATTAACATAATTTATGCATAGTGGTGTTAACCATTTAAGTAAGTTACACATGTCACAAGGTATAAAATTCCCAATTCCCATCATTCACCAATAAGGAGTCACAGAATTTTCACACTGTTCAATGATGCAAATTAGGTCATCATTTGCATAGTTAGTCCGCCTGCCACAGATTAAATACTAGTAGATTACATGTATACAATTACTAATATATAAAACCCAGTAATTATAGAATTTGTCTAATTCCATAAAATTAACCCGGGGTGGCCTTATTCTGCCCAAAAGGCTGTAATTAATATGCCTTTCAGGAAATTTAAACAGAAACATGATACACAGCTATACTATCCGGGAAAAGTGCAGCTGAAACGAAGGAGAAACCATTCTGATTTGCTTCCCAAGCAGGAGAAATTCTAAGCTTTACCTTCAGATGTCAGGCACAGTGGTGAGGTCTATATCTCCCAGCATCTTTTCTAGCCTGGGCTCCACCTTGGTATCCCCAAGATCGCTACCTTGCCAGGCTACATCTGGGGTGCCGGCTCCTTTTTTTTTCTTTTTTCTTTTTCTTATTTCTATAAGACTAGTCTCGGCGAGGTCTGCACAGCCTGAAGCAGGCAGGGACACTCAGCCTTTTCTTCAGACTCTTCCACACCCTGCGGCAGAACCCCTTTTTGGCAGGTTCATCATCGATGATCGTCATGCTGGTTCTGGGTGCCGCAACCGCCTGTTTGCTTTCCTCCCCCGCGGACATCACGCAGTTGGGTAGTGTGTCGGCCTGACGGAGAAGTCCAGTACCTTCCTCCGTAGCATCGATATCATTCAGCACCGATGTTTGTCGGTCGCCACTCTTAAACTTCACCGACATTGTTTCGCGTACGCCTTTCCCGGAGGCAAAACACAATACCTCAGAAGATGAGGATTTAAGAATAGACAGTCCACTTACTTTGTTTTCCATGATTTGGGCTAACGTTTTGGTTGACGAAGCGAACTTTCAAGCTCTGCTTTATCGTACGTGTGTATTTGTGGATTCACACGTATGGTCGTAAACCTCTTTGTTCCGTCAGAATCCCCGCCGCCCAAGACGAGGAACAATAAGACGCGTTCCAGAACATGCGCAGATGCGCCGGTCGAATCGCCGCAGTCGCGAGATCCTCTGTAGTGAAAAATCGAAGTTTTGATGTAGATGTTAAACCATGTCATTCCCGAAGAATGGCAAACGTTTTAGATTCATTCTTGATGAACAGGCGTTACCATATATTTTTAGATAATTCCAAAGAACGCGTTTTTTTCTCCTAATAGTTCAACGTTACATATAGACTCTAGGTACCCTATTTGTACCTCCATTAAAAATTGCGGTATTGTTTTTGGTGTGTCGGTGTGTGTGTCTGTGTGTGTGTTTGTGTTTCCGCACAGACCTGATTTGCATAATTTATGGGAAATTGCTATAATCCATAGTATTAAGTGCTGGGCATGTCATACTTGCCGCATTTGGAAGTTTAGTGAAGGTGAACATCAATAAACATAATCTATTTAAATCATGACCTCATTTGCATAATTCATGAGGCAATGCTAGAATATAATAATAGCCTTTTTGCTAAGATAAGGCTGTCGTTGGGTGAAGAATATGAGGCTCTTATTTGCGAAATCAATGAGTAAAAATGTATAATTCGTCCACCGGAATGGTTTTTTGGCGAAGGTATGAGATCGTGGAAGTCTTCTCTCTCTCTCTCTCTC